TGGAACATGTACTCTAAAACTCTAGCCTGTTTCTCTTCCTCAGAAATGTTCCTGGCAGAAAAATAAAACAACGTGATTTTTTTTCTTTTCTTTTTCTTTTTATGATGAGCAGGGAATTGATTTCAAATCTAAGCAAACATCAAAGGAAAGATCTACAAGTAAAGACTAATTAGAAAAACATAACTAAGTGACTGGGACAGCTTAGCAATCATATATACCACAGCACTGTTTCACGTTGGACTGTTTAAGAGGCAGTTTTCATTGCTAAGTTTACTAAAGCTGTCGTAACTCAGAGTAGACAGGGTGAGGAGTGAGGCTGCATATGCACCACTCTAAAGCAGACGGGCTGAAAGCAGTGCTTTCAGTGCTGAGCAGTTCACCAAAACCACCTTAATAGCCATTATGAACTAATTTTTAATTTAAACTCTTAAAGAAACCCAGGTTGTAATATGGCATGCAACTTTTAGGCACACAGACACACACACAAAAAAACCAAGCCTGCTTACCTCTCCCAGCTCTGCCAACGGCAACATTGTAAGTCGGCTCCCCACCTTGACTCTTTGTCCGGATGTCCATTGTGCAGTCACCATCAACATATAGGCTATCTCTGATCACAGAACACTTCTTTGCTCCAAGAGTCAAACCGTTGGTAAAGAAACCTTCCCGGTCTTTTCCTACAATCATATCTATTTCTACTGGCTGGCCACCCAAAACAAAGAAGAAAAAATTACAGTTAATCAGAATTTGATACAACAAACTATGTACTGATGTAAAATCAAGATAGCTGTTTTTATTATTACCTATTCCTCCTACATGGTTACATGATTTACACATTGGTTTGTTTCTGCAATGAACAGTGAGATCTGCTAACTAAAAGCCGGTATATACCAAGCATACAAAGAGTCTCCCTCGATAGTTGGAAGCTGACGCTGGGTATAAACTGAAAATGAGTTATTTATACACTGTATCAAAGTCAGGTGCTACTTGAAGGTGCTTATGTAACTGTAAAGATTTAGCTATAAGCTCTTATAACAGCTTGCCTATCATATTCAGCCACATTAGTCATGTTGCATCAAATTTAAAGTTGGGTAAAAGTCTACCCAGATAAACCTGCTCACTCCTCTGCTTCAGGCAGCTTGAAATATTCCCTGGTGGTATAAACCTCAATCACCACAGACCATGGGACATTTCCAAATTTGTATTTCCCTCCTATTTTTCTAGCCACCACTCTCTTCTCTCCAACTTGCCTTGCCCTTTCATTCAATAACCAGCCTTCCTTCTGGACGAATGCAGAGTGGATTCTGTCTACAGCACTGCAGCAAGCAATCGTAAGATCAGAGAGAAAATGAAGGGGCATTGGTAAAGAAAGTGAGGTAGCCACCAGAACCGGAAAAAGAGAATACGTTCATTCTAACATTCCATGAATAAGAAGGAAGGCGTCGCCCCCATCAGAACTGCAGAGTCATAGCAGGCCCCAGCCATTTCCAAGCATACTCCCGCAATCTTCTTAAGCCAGACAGCGGGAACTCACACACAAAGACAAGACTGCAGAAAAAAAAAGTTCATCACCAAATGTCAATTCGCTACAGGAATTGTGGTCTCCCACATGGGGACAGGAGATCGTAAAGCACTCCGATCACGGTCTGAATCCACACTAATATGTTAAACCACGTTAAGTAGTAAAATGCTGAGCACCTGTGATATGGGACTTGAATTCTGCTATGTGATGGGAAGGGTGTGGGAGTGAGGAGCTAAGAAATTAAGGGACTGGTCTTGTACTTGATACTGGTGCCAAAATTTTAAAGAAGAGCATCGCATAGAAACGGGCATAACAATAAGCAGTGTTGGAGGCTGCCTGACGCATATTCTCCAAATGTGTGGATACCGAATCAAAAGCCATCAGGTCACACTGAAAATGAGGCAATGAGAAGCATAAATCGGTATTAGTTCTTTCACTACCATCACTAAAGAGGGAGTGACTTGGAGAAGTGTCACCCCCCACCAGCGACTCCCCAGATTTTTTTTAAAAAATCACCCTTAAACCATCCCCTTTTTAGAGCTATGTTGCGTAACTGGGGATAACAGTATATCGATGAATCTCTATAGGTGGAGAAGAGGAATCAATGGCAGTTCGCCATCTTGGAGGAAAAAAAAAACTATAGAGCCACAAGCTTGAAGTAGATTCACGATTCCACCTACGTGGTCCGCGTACCTTTCTCTCCAGCCTGGGAGGCCTGGACACCCACAAGCCTACGCAAAGTCACTCTATTAATTCCCGGGATCCGGCCACCACCGCCTCCCACATCCCGCGCTCACCGCTGAGCCAGAGCCAGGGCCAGCCTGCCGCCCAGGACCCCCGCCCACACCCGGGAACCCGCACTGCAGCCTGCGGGGCTCCCCAAACGCCGAGGGGCCTCCGGGGGAGACGTCCCCTCCTCCACCCTGGCAGCTGCAAGCCGGGGCGCCGCCGGGGCGACGAGTCCGGCCGCCCCGCCCCCGCGCGGCCTCGGGCAGCATCCCCAGGCTCAGCGGCCGGCATCGGGGACCCGGCTGCATCGCCTTCCTCAGCCGGCGGTACCCTGCCCTCCAGCCCTAGCCGCATCCCCCTTCCTCGCGGACGGGCGTCCCCTTCCTCAGAGGCCCGCCGCACACCTGCCGGCTCGGCGCCCCCGGGCCTCACCGTGATGCTCTGGAAGACACCCCCGGCCGTGGCTGCCCAGACGTATTTGGCGTCGCAGTAGCCGACAATGGCGGCCTCCTGGCAGCAGCCATCGCACATCAGGTTATCCACGTAGCTCTGCCAACCGGCCATCTTCGAGCCCTTCGCACTGCAGCGGGGACGGCAGGAGCAGAGGCGCAGCAGCGGCGGCGGCGGCGGCGGCGGTGGAGGCGGGGCGGGGGCGGGGAGGAGGCGGCTCTGCGCAGGCACCGACCGCCCCTCTCCGGGGAACTGCGGCGGGCGGGGACAGGACCCGCAGCGGGGAGCGCCGGGCGGCCACGGCCGCGGGGCTCAGGAGCCGGCGGCGGAGCGACGCTGGCAGCGGGGCTGGCGACGGCCGACTCACAGCGCAGCTCCCTCGGCTCTCCGCGGCCAGCGGGCTGTGCGCGCGCGTGCGTGCGATCCTTCCGCAGCGCAGCCGGCGAGGGTCCCCGGGAGGGCGGGGAGCTGAGGCAGGGGGACGCGGAGGGATACCGCCGGAGACAATCACGGCCCACACGTGCGGGAGGCGAGCCGGCGCGCGGCTGGGGCGCGGCGGCGGAGCCCCACCATAGGCTATGTGGAGAGGCAGCTTGAGGGGGCGCCGCGGAGTGCCGGAGCTCTGGGTCCCCGGCGGCCACGGTGCTCACTCCTCAAGCGCCCGCTCTGGATGCGGGATTGATGGCATCAGTGTCGGGTGGCAGGGTTGCCCTGGTGACGGGATGCGGAGGGTTTACTCTTTGTAGTGGGAGCGGCCAGTGCGGGTTGCCCACACTTGGGGAGGTGTCTCTTGGAAGACCTGGGCCAGCTGTGCCTGCACTCTCCTGCAATCAGAGCGGTGGCATCAGAGCGCAGCTCTGTGCTCTTTGTTGCCTCCTTTGAGTAAAGGAACTCCAGGTTCCGTGGAGCTTCTGCCCTGAACTGGGTGCCCCTAATTACGTGGAGCTCAATCGTCTAGAAATTTTAAACAAAACAGACCCTATGTGCACTTGGTAACTGGAAAAGTTACTGTGCGTTAACTACATCCATGAAATACAAAGAATAATCGAGTTAGAAAAGGATTCATTGAACTAGACCAGTGGTTCTGAAACTTCCTAGTGCTGAGACCTCTTAATGTTTCTCATGTTGTGGTGACCCCCAACCATAAAATTATTTTGCTGCTATTTCATAACTGTAATTTTTGTTAGTTATGAATCATAATCATGATATCTAATATATGACCCCAAAGGGTTTGAGGCCCATAGGGTGAGAGATGGTGAAAATATTTCAGAATGTACATCTGAGGAAGACAGTATATGACAGGGTGGAAAATGGTTTAAGGGTCTCTAAACATTCTCCTACATCTTTGTTAACTTTATGTGCTGGGTCTAGACAAACCTGACCTGCCTATTAAGGGAAAGAAAGCTGCAATAGATTGCAAACTATTGTCAGTTTTAAAGTTGTGGAGTACATTGACAATTTTATAATAGCACCACTGAACATTTATTGGACTTTTAAAAAAATAAAACTAATGTCTTAGCATTCTGATTACTATGAAGAGACACCATGACCACAGCAACTCTTATTTTTTTATTGGATATTTTTTTTTTTACATTTCAGATGGCATCCCTTTTCCCCATTGGGGCTGGCTTACAGTTTCAGAGGTTTAGTCCATTATCATCACGCCTGAGAGTATACAGGCTGACATGATACAGAGACATAGCTGAGAGTTCTATATCTGGATCCCAAAGCAATAAAAAGAGAGGACCACTGGTCCTGATTTTGGTCTTTTAAAACCTCAAAGCCCACCCACAGTGACATACTTCCTCCAACAAGGCCACACCTCCTGATCCTTCCCATGTAGTATCACTGATGACTAAGCATTCAAATTTATGAGCCTTTGGAGACCATTCTCATTCAAACCACCACTGTTGGGAGCCGACTCTGAGCCGAGGGCGGCTATTATCTTTGCAGCCATCTTGAGCCATGTATCCTGACAAGAGACTTGTTTCCAACAGCCTACAACAGCTGCGCACACTCTGATAATTATCTTGATCCTTTCAGTCAAGGCCAGACGGTGGTAGCACACGCCTTTAATCCCAGCACTTGAGAGACTCAGGAGGGATATAAAAGGAGCAGTCAGAGGCAGTCAGCAGCAGTCAGAGGCAGAGAGCAGACAGACTAGTCGGAGAAGACAGACTTCGTCTCCAGACAGACTGACTCAGAGCAGACTCAGAGCATACAGACTAGACTAGACAGAGCAGACAGACGCAGACTTCGTCTCCAGCAGCAGACTCGGCAGACTCCGTCTCCAGCAGGCAGACTTCGTCTTGTCTCCATTCTTCCCGCCCCTGTCCCCACTCTGTCTCTTGCTCCCTGACCCGTGGACCGGAGCTGCAGAACAACTGGATACACACCACAGGTAGGACTAAGACCATAGAAATTAGAGTAGGGCCAACAGCAATTAGTCAGCTGCCAAGTTGGGACGGTATTTGTCCTCGTGTTTGGAAGATAGAGAATTCTGCTCCTTATTTAGGAATCCGTCCACTTAGACCATTCTGTCCCCACTTAATTTAATCTCCCTCACTCCTACTTATCATTCTGCCTGTTTGTCACAACCATTTTAATTCTTATTTCTTAACTATTATCATATTTAAAAGTAAAGGTGGGGTGGAGAAATGGTTCAGTGGTTAGGACTGGGTGCTCCTCTATAGGTCCCAGGTTCAATTCTCAGCACCCACTTGGCAGGTCACAACTGTCTGTAACTCCAGTTCCAGGAGATCCATGGCACCAAGCATGCAGGTGCTATACATATATATGCATGCAGACAAAGTACCTATATGCATAAAGTAAATCTTTCTTAAAAATTAACGATGGGGCAGGGTGTGGTGTCACATCTTTAATCCCAGCACTAGGAAGGCAGGCTCAGGAGGAACTCTCTTACGTTTGAGCACATGTCTCAGTCAGAGTTTCTATTCCTGTACAAACGTCATGGCCAGGAAGCAAGTTGGTGAGGCAAGGGTTTATTCAGCTTACATTTCCACATTGCTCTTCATCACCAAAGGAAGTCAGGACTGGAACTCAAGCAGGTCAGGAAGCAGGAGCTGATGCAGAGGCCATGCATGGAGGGATGTTACTTACTGGCTTGCTTCCCCTGGCTTGCTCAGCTTGCTTTCTTATAGAGCCCAAGACTACCAGCCCAGGGATGGCACCACCCACAATGGCCCTCCCATCCTTGATCACTAATTGAGAAAATGCCTTACAGCTGGATCTCATGGAGGCATTTCCTTAAGTGAGGCTCCTTTCTCTGTGATAACTGCAGCTTGTGTCAAGTTGACACACAAAACCAGCGCCAGTACAATTGACCCCTTGTCAACTTGACACAAACACCACTATTACACCTCAACCCTTTTTTATTCATCCCCAAGTTCTAAATAACTTTAAAAGTCCCACAGTCTTTACAAATTCTTACATATTAAAATTTTATTGTCTTTAAAATATCCAATCTCTTTAAAAATTCAAAGCCTTTTTACAATTCAAAATCTCTTAACTATGGGCTCTACTAAAATACTTTCTTCCTTCACAGTCAAAAACAAAATCAAGAGAGAAGCAAGATGGCAGACGTGCTAGATCTTCACGAGGCGGGGGGCGAGGATTTCGCCATGGATGAGGATGGAGACGAAAGCATCCACAAATTAAAAGAAAAAGCGAAGAAACGGAAGGGCCGCGGTTTTGGCTCCGAAGAGGGGTCCCGAGCGCGGATGCGGGAGGATTATGACAGTGTGGAGCAGGATGGCGATGAACCTGGACCACAGCGCTCTGTTGAAGGTTGGATTCTCTTTGTCACTGGAGTCCATGAAGAAGCCACTGAAGAAGATATCCATGACAAATTCGCTGAATATGGAGAAATAAAAAATATCCACCCTAATTTGGACAGGCGCACAGGATATTTGAAGGGGTATACTCTAGTTGAATATGAAACATACAAAGAGGCTCAGGCTGCCATGGAGGGACTAAACGGTCAAGACTTGATGGGGCAACCAATCAGTGTTGACTGGTGTTTTGTTCGTGGTCCACCAAAGGGCAAGAGGAGAGGAGGCCGAAGACGAAGCAGGAGTCCAGATCGGAGACGTCGTTGATAAATCCTCTGTTGACCATGTGGTCTCTCTATGAGTCCATTTGGTTATGCTGTCTTGGATAACCAGGGCTAGAGCGGACCTTGTGTTTATATTTAATTTCTTACCCTGTCTACTTGGTATTGCTTTGAGTTTAAGAAAAAAAAATAAATGTTCCATTTTGTTTTCTACAAAAAAAATAAAATAAAAAAAAATTAAAAAAAAAATCAAGGTCGCCTCCGGGACTTCTCCAAGCCAAAGTCAGTTGCCTGTCGTCACTGCTGCCGCCTCCGCTGAAACCGCCGCCGCCACCATGGCTCAGTACAAGGGCGCTGCAAGCGAGGCAGGACGCGCCATGCACCTAATGAAGAAGAGGGAGAAGCAGCGTGAGCAAATGGAGCAGATGAAGCAGAGGATTGCAGAGGAGAACATAATGAAATCTAACATTGACAAGAAGTTTTCAGCACACTATGATGCTGTGGAAGCAGAGCTCAAGTCCAGTACTGTTGGTCTTGTGACCCTGAATGACATGAAGGCCAAACAAGAGGCACTGGTGAAGGAGCGAGAGAAGCTGCTGGTAAAAAAGGAGCAGTCAAAGGAGCTACAGCTGAAACTAGAGAAGCTTCGCGAGAAGGAGCGCAAGAAGGAGGCCAAGCGGAAGATCTCTAGCCTGTCCTTCACCTTGGAGGAAGACGAGATGGCCGTGTATGAGGAGGAACTGGAGAGGAAAGAGATCACCACAAAGAAGAAGAAATTGGGGAAGAACCCTGATGTGGACACAAGCTTCTTGCCTGACCGGGACCGGGAGGAGGAGGAGAATCGGCTTCGGGAAGAGCTACGCCAGGAGTGGGAAGCCAAGCAGGAAAAAATCAAGAGTGAAGAGATTGAAATCACCTTTAGTTACTGGGATGGCTCTGGGCACCGGCACACAGTTAAAATGAAGAAAGGCAACACGATGCAGCAGTTCCTGCAGAAAGCACTAGAGATCTTGCGGAAAGACTTCAGTGAGCTCAGGTCAGCAGGGGTGGAACAGCTCATGTACATCAAGGAAGATTTAATCATCCCCCACCATCACAGCTTCTATGACTTCATTGTTACCAAGGCACGAGGGAAAAGTGGACCACTCTTCAACTTTGATGTTCATGATGATGTACGACTGCTCAGTGATGCCACCGTGGAGAAGGATGAGTCACATGCAGGCAAAGTGGTACTGAGGAGCTGGTATGAGAAGAACAAGCACATTTTTCCTGCCAGTCGCTGGGAGCCCTATGACCCAGAGAAGAAATGGGACAAGTACACCATCCGGTGAGCATCCAACAGTGGGCATGACCTTGGCTCTCCCCAGTGTTCACCCATGTCTCCAGGGCTCCAGGTGACCATGCCAGAGCACTCTGGGAGGATGGTAGTTGCTATTCCCTGACCTGATGTTGTCATTACTGCTCTTCCCTTTTACAATAAAAAAAAAAAATCCACATGTTGGAGCTGGAGTGCCTGCATTATTAAAAAAAAAATCAAACTAATATCCGATATCTGGGATTCACTCATGACCTTCTGGGCTCCTCCAAGGGCTTGGGTCACTTCTCCACTCTGCCCTTGTAGCACACACCTTGTCTTCTAGGCTCTAGGTGCCTGTACTCACTACTGTTGCTGTTCTTGGTGACCATCTTATTGTACTGGCATCTCCAAAACACTGCTGTCTTCTACTGCAACTGGGCTTCACCAATAGCCTCTCCTAGGGGATGCCAAGCCTCAACTCTTTTGCATGACCCCTTCAGTCCTGGGCCATCAACTGCTAATGAGGCCGCACCTTCATCAATGACCTTCCAAGGCCTCTCACAGTGCCAAGCTTCAGCTGCTCTTCACGATCCCTTCATGCCTTCAAAACCAGTTCCACCTGGGTGACTCTTACACATTACCAAGTCCAGCTGCAGCATGAAGTACAACCTTTGCTATCTCTGGAACACAGCCTGTTTGTGTTCTCAGAAAAAACTTCCCAGAAGATTTCACCTCAGTGATGCTGGTCTTTTCTTAATCACCACTAATTTCGTAGTTCCAGCTTACCAGCATCAACAGTCCTAGTAAAGTAATGCAAAGGTTTCACTTTAGTAGTTCTGGTACCTTGTTAATCACAGCTGAGTCTTCAGCCTCAGCAAATGAAAACCACAGAAATCAAAACAGCAATGGCCCTGATAAGAGTCTTTAATCTTCCCTCTGAAATTTCACAAGCCAGGGCTCCATCATTTGCACTGTTCTCAGCATTATCTTCCAAGCTCCTACAGAACATCCCACAGAGCTCTTAACACTCAATGGCTCTTCTAGCCCAAAGTTCCAAAGTCCTTCCACAGTCCTCCCCAAAACATGGTCAGGTTATCACTGGAATACCCCACTATGCTGGTACCAATTTGTCTTAGTCAGAATTTCTATTCCTGTACAAACAACATGACTAAGAGTAAGTTGGGGAAGAAAGGGTTTGTTCAGCTTACACTTCCACACTGCTGTTCATCACCAAAGGAAGTCAGGACTGGAACTCAAGCAGGTCAGGAAGCAGGAGCTGATGCAGAGGCCTTGCATGGAGGGATATTACTCACTGGCTTGCTTCCCCTGGCTTGCTCAGCTTGCTTTCTTATAGAACCCAAGACTACCAGCCCAGGGATGGTGCCACCCACAATGGGCCCTCCCACTCTTTATCACTAATTGAGAAAATGCCTTACAGCTGGATCTCATGGAGGCATTTCCTTAAGAGAGGCTCCTTTCTCTGTGATAACTGCAGCTTGTGTCAAGTTGACACGTAAAACCAGCCAAAAATGAATATGCTTACTTTGTGAAAATTTATACAATGATAAATGTTTGGAATTTGTCTTTATGTATTCTATAATCCAGTAAGTTTAAACATTGAATAAGGTAATAGAAAAGATAGTAATTTGGCGAAATATAGAAATTATGTTTTGTTTATTACTCTGATGCAGGACTGTGGTGGGGTGGTGAGCATTAGAGGTAATGATTCCCTGGAGGCAGGAAGGTAGTTCTGTTCAACATGACTCAGTAGCTGGTGTTGGTTCAAATTTTGATAGTCTATCCCTGAATAGATTATTTTAGCTGTATTTAAATACAACACAACTTGGTGAGATTTCTCCTGGTGATGAATAATTCACTTTTGTGGGAAGCCATTGGGGCTGCTAGGCAGGAATCTGACATTGGCCAAGGACAAGAAAATGGGCTTTAGACAAGAATCTGACTTTGGACCATGACAAGGAAGTAAGTTCAGACAGGAGTCTATTTTTAGGCTAAAACAGAGAAGTAAATTCAGTCAGGAATCCAAGTCTTAGGCTAAAACAAAGAAGTAGGCCTCAGGCATGAATATGACTGTGGGCTAGGACAGGGAAGTAGGCTCAGATACTTTGTCATCCTGATGTTCCCTTAGAAACAGCGATCATGAGAGTGATCACGGGGTGATCCCGGGACTCTGTATATTGCCTTGTTTGTTCCTTGACTGTTTGTTTCTATTGTAATGTTGGTTCCTCAAACCTAGAACTGACCTAAGTACTTGCATGTAACTAAAAGGGTTTAAAAGAAAAGATGAATTAAACGAACCTGCCTTCAGCCTCAGAACTGGCTGGGGTCATGCTGCAATTTTGTCTAACCATCTCTTTTCTTTTAATCCTCACTCCTGCGCTGGAGAATCTGTTGGCTGACTGAGCGGGCTTGGTCACACTTTCATGTGCACAATAAAGCTTAAGACGTAACATCATCAAAACTCTTTGTAAAATACTTGTGACATCTTCCAAAAGGATGGGTTCTATAGATTGATGAGCTCATGATAAGAGTCTGGAAGAGGATTTGGTATGGTCTTGGTCACACAGATAACACAAAGGTCACCAGGGTATCAACTATGCCTGCTCTCAGCCTTCTGGGTAGAAAACAGGTTACATGCCCTCCCTTTGAAGGCGTGTCCCTGTGCCCTTAGCATTCCTGGTTCCCCCAGTGCTTACCTGTAAGTACAAAGACTTTAGTGCCTCCCACACTCTGGTGTTTTAAAGATTTTTATTTCTGGAGTTTATTATTTCATTCATATTCTTTTATTGTTGGCTTGAAACATTGAAAGTATTAGGAGAACTGCACATTTTGGAAATCCTAATGTACAGATTCAAAAACATATGTTGCAAAAAGCAAAAAAATTAATTTCATTGCAGTTTTCCTTTTTTTTTTTTACAAAAATCAAGTGTAAAAACCATAAGAGTTTAGAGCCTACCACTTTTTCATATTTTTTAAAACTGTAACAATGAGTTTTAATTACTGTTTTACTTTTTCCACATGGTATTATTTGTCTGCAGTTGCTACAGTAAATCTTAAATAGCTATGAAAATGATATTCTGCTAACTACAGCTTAAATTGTAGTTTGTATACTAGGAGAGCACATTTATGGCTGTGGTTTTAGGTCTTTAAGAAAGTTGTTCTGTGCTTATTTTCCTTAGAACCAACTTCCCTAGCACAGTACCAGTACGGTGTAAACAATGTTCTGTTCCCAGATCAGCTAACTATTGCTTATCACACCTTTCAAAAAGTTGCAGTAGAGGCAGAATATTGGGGATTAGGAACGATATAGGTTGAACTCAGAGGAGTATCAGTATAAGAAAAAGAATCCCTGGCTTGTACCTCCTCTCCTTTCTTCAGAGTAGCAGTGTCTGGGCAGCAGCCTAGAGAGTCATGGCTCTGTTGCTAGTGCACATATTCAGAATGGTGTGTGGGTAACAGCTAGTTAGTCACATGCTTAAATCTGGGATGTGCTTTAACTACGTGCACTATCTCAAAATTCTTTCATGTGGAACGACTTGGATGTGGAAGTCATTTGGTGCCTAGATAATGTAAACTATGTAACTCCGTAAATTAATAATTTGGCTAACAAAAAAGGTCATAATAATTATATACAACTTAATAAGTAGTTGAACAGAAATTAAAACATAGGCTCTATTTACCCAATTACAAAAGTCAGAATTAAATCTAAGTCATCTAAAATCTTCACCCACATATTTTCTTTTATGGGAAGTAAATTAATTATAAAAGTAATATAATAATCAGGAAAATTTCAAATTTAGCCTATCATTAATTGTCTTCTTTAACTTCTTTAGTACTTTGTCTTGGGGTCTATTTTATGAATATTAAGATGAGTATCTCAGCTCTATTAGCTTTTACCTATTATATTGTTTTCTCCACTTCAACTTTGTCTTATTGTTTTTTGATACAGGGTCTCTTGTAGCTCCGGCTAGTGTCAGTCTTGATATTTAGCCAACTTCACAGTGACTCCAAA